ACGACGACCAGGACGACGAGAGGAAGAGATCGCCGTCGAGATCGCCGCCGTCCGACGTCACACGCGCCCGCACGCGCCGCCGGGAGAGGACTGCTGCCGGAGATCACGCGCACGCGTGATAGAGCGTGGAGCCTCTGATTTCCGATCGGTCAACGCCGTTGACTTCGCCGTGACGTCAGCTTTCCGGATTGGTCAAGTTTGTTCGATTCCGAGAAGATTTGATTTGCGGTCAACTGTCCGGGCCAGCCAGATCTACATAAATTTTAAGCAGTAAGTTTTCTTCATCAAACCTTTAGATCCGCTGCGCATAGGTTTATGTTGAATGTTTGTCTGTGATTTGTGCATATCGAGATCCTCGTGGGTTCCAACAAAAACATCATCCGTAAATGGGTGACCTTGCATCCTGGGTTGCCGCCTACCCTCCACCCTAGCTTGGAGTTCTTTTATCTGGCTCGCCATCTGCTCCAACATCAGGTCTCTAGGCGGCCTATGGACCATCGGCGACATCACCGACCTCTCCTCTGGCTCATCCCTCCGATGACTACCACCTCCGAGCAACCTAGCTGCCGTCGGAATGTGTTGTCCTGCCGCTCCGGTTTGCATTCCTCCCGTCTGCCCCATCAGCGGCTCTGGTTGCTCCCTTACCGAAGCTGCCCTCTCCACCACCACAACTGCCCTCTCCATTTCGGCGGGCCTCTCCACTGCCGCGACTTGAGCGCGCTCCTCCAAAGCCTTGGTGACCGCCTCCGCAATGAGACGATCCAATTCCGTTCTGGTCACCCGCATCTCAAGTGCTCCTCCATCCTGCGCAACTCCTGAACCGCCAGTCTGTACCGCCACCTCCTGGTCCCGTCCTTGGTTCGGTACTCCCTGTTCTAGCTCCGGTGACGGGGTCTGGTTTCCCACTGGCAACGCCTTTTGAGGGGTAGCCTTCGAGTTCTCTCCCGTGCTCCACCCAACCGGCGGTCCCCCTCCATAAGGCGTCTGCGCCACCCAAGCCTCCTCCATTCTCGCTCCCAAATTCCTTCTCAACTGCTCGTCTCCGCTCATCTTTCCCACCGTCTCCTGCTCTGCAATCGGTAAAGTAACTGAGTAGTCCCACAGACGGCGCCAATTGATGTGATTTTACGCACTAGACCGGTCTTCCTCGAGTCCCAACCGCTTGAGCCCTTCAACACCTGCAAAGACGCCGGGAAGTGCTCCCGGCGGTAAACCTCCGACGCTCAAGTTAGTAGGGTATCGAGGAGAACACAGATTTGTATATTAGGGTTTATTGTAATGCCCTTACCTTCCACCATACATGATCCCCTATTTATATATGATGTTCTAGCTTCCTTTGCACGCTTTGTTCTTGGTTCCTTAGGTCATCTATCTTTTTAGTCATCAGGCCCCTACACGTGTCTTCTCCGGGTCCATTTAATAACCATAACACCTGCTCCGTTCCCGGCCCACTTATAGACCAAGCAATGCACACAGTCAAGCCATATTTGGGCCGAGCCCATTCATTACCAGATCTGTCGGCTCAGCCCACAAACATCCTTCCGGCTTACAGACCGGGCTGATTTCCGCCGGTCTGCCCAAATATTTTCCTATGCTATATCATCTAGTCCCCCCATTATCAAACGAGCTATGTTGTCGCTTCCTTAGATAGACTTGTTTGATAATTAATCCAAAAAATTGATGTGCTTTTACGCACTAGACCGGTCTTCCTCGAGTCCCAACCGCTTGAGCCCTTCAACACCTGCAAAGACGTCGGGAAGTGCTCCCTGCGGTAAACCTCCGACGCTCAAGTTAGTAGGGTATCGAGAAGAACACAGATTTGTATATTAGGGTTTATTGTAATGCCCTTACCTTCCATCATACACGATCCCCTATTTATATATGATGTTCTAGCTTCCTTTGCACGCTTTGTTCTTGGTTCCTTAGGTCATCTATCTTTTTAGTCATCAGGCCCCTACACGTGTCTTCTCCGGGTCATGTGCCATGTGCCCAAAACTTTGAGGTACAAAATATTTGGCACATGGCCCAAGTGTGTTTGAGGCTCAAACACACTTAATTTTGGAGTTCTTATGAGTTTGGCCTCAACACGTGTCTTCTCCGTGTCATCAGGCTCCTTTTTGTACTTGGGCCATGTGCCAAATATTATTCATAGTTCCCATACCTGCAAGGTTCAACCGAACAGATGACATGAAATTTATTGAGCAGATTAATCCATCTTCACCCATATCATCGGACCGCACAATCTCTACCCGTTCATACAGATGAATTTGCTATATTTACCGAGCAGATGGACCCCACGCATCCGAGCAGGTGAATCTGCTATGTCAATCGGGCAAAGAAATTTGTATCCGTCGGAGCAGGTGAAGCTACTACGTCGCCCGAGCAGATGGATTTCACGTCCTCGTGCGTGCAGATTGCTATGCACCCGTCCGAGCAGATGAATTTGCTACGCGAAAAGACATCTCGGGTACTGTACCCAGCTATCATTATGTCTCATTATGACACCTCGATTTCCGCGCATAATGCTTGCAGAGTGACCTTTTGATTTATTGTAGACCAACAGATCCTATCCTAGCTTCCATAAATAAGTCTCTCCACCTACTACCTCTTTCATACCTTGTTAACTTTCTATCATTTATTTTTTACGCAGAGAAATCACCCCTGTGCAGTCGCTCCTCCTCCATCAACGGCCACCATTTTTTCCGACAACCCGCGCGGCGCCCCATGGGTAAGTGCTTCGCCTATATTTATTCTCCATATGCATCATATTTATTTACACGCACCGAAACCGGCTCTCGCGATCGGCTTGTCTCCAAATTTGAGTTTCGAGTTTAGATAATTTTACAATCCACGGGCTACACTTGCATGCCCCGAAAATTGGTCGTAAAATTCGATTATCTGCATCCCTATTTAGTGAACCTCCATATATGGCCGTGCCATCCACCTCGATACCCTACTCTTCGAATTGTCCCATACTGTAATCTCACACAATTGTGTGATTTGTGCGGCTGTTAATACTCAAACCCCGCTGAAATCTTCCCTTTTTTTTGTTTTTGTTTTTTTTTTTAGATATCGGACCGCTGGAGGTTATGTCCACTTCCTCGGATTCCGAACATCCTGACCCCGACTCGAGCTCCTCGGGCGAAGAGCTCATCGTGTACACCGCGGCATCAAGCCACTCGACACCTCCCGAACGCACCTTACAACTGCGAGATGAAGAAAATAGCGTTCCTTGGGACACGCTCACCCCCATAGTCGACCCCAACTTTCTCTCGTTAAGTCACAACCCTCCACACGCCCTTGCTCTATCCTCTCTCGAGCTACGTGCTCGACAATCAAGGGTAAACGTAGATTCTGAGTCTCTCGCAAATCCCGTAGAAGTAACCCCCGAACTAGTAGTCATGACGCGAACCAACCCCTTCTTTACTGCTACCCCCCTCGAAATCCAGGCTTTTATGAACCTATGCGAGCTTCCATCTGATTGGTTGTTCAAAGCGCCCTTGCCGGGTAACTCATATAACCGACCACCCCATGGCTATTACACATTCTTCGTTGACCAAGTGATCAGTGGTCTTCGATTTCCTATTCGTTCGGACTTGCTCACCCCAATGGACCAACATGATTTTCCTATTAATCAACTTGCCCCCAACGGTATCCGCATCTTAATAGGCTACACCATCCTAAGCCGCTATCACTTCAATGAATTAAACCCCGAATTCTTTTTCTATACTTACGGCCTTAAAAAACACCATGTCGGATCATACTATCTTAGTGCCCGCAATCGAGCCGAGTACCTTAGAGAGCTAGATGCTAAGATCAGCCATTGGAAAACTCGCTTCTTCTTTGTAAAACCTCCCAACGGCACCTTCTTATTATTTGGCACATGGCCCAAGTACTGTACCGAGCAGATGGACCCCACGCATCCAAGCAGGTGAATCTGCTATGTCAATCGGGCAAAGAAATTTGTATCCGTCGGAGCAGGTGAAGCTACTACGTCGCCCGAGCAGATGGATTTCACGTCCTCGTGCGTGCAGATTGCTATGCACCCGTCCGAGCAGATGAATTTGCTACGCGAAAAGACATCTCGGGTACTGTACCCAGCTATCATTATGTCTCATTATGTCTCATTATATATGATGTTCTAGCTTCCTTTGCACGCTTTGTTCTTGGTTCCTTAGGTCATCTATCTTTTTAGTCATCAGGCCCCTACACGTGTCTTCTCCGGGTCATGTGCCATGTGCCCAAAACTTTGAGGTACATAATATTTGGCACATGGCCCAAGTGTGTTTGAGGCTCAAACACACTTAATTTTGAAGTTCTTATGAGTTTGGTGCCAAAAAAAAAAAAAAAGGTACGCTAGTTGATATGACTTCTACAAATCAAGTCCTTTAAACTTTATCAGTTTTTTCTCATAATATAACTTGGGGTGTCACATAAATTCATTCTTAATTTAACACAAAACATCAAATATTTATCCAAATAGACTTATGTATCCAAAAACAGTCCATTTGAAAAGTAACTGCAAACAGAGGCAACATTGTTCCTAATATCAAGACTTTTTTTTTAACTGTGATTTAATCATGACCTTTTTTTAAAAAAAAAAAAATATATCACAAATTTCAGTTTGTTGTTAATCGGTGCAAGAGTTCTGAAAATCAACTTTAAAAAAGCTGATATGACCGAGAACAAACTTAAGATTGTGATATAGTTTGTACGAGCTCTTCAAATCGGTGCACCAATTTGCAACACTAAAAATTATTATTTGTAAAAATGAAAAAATTGTGACATTAAGTACAATACAACTAGTAGTTTAATGTATACATTCTCAACATGAATAATTTTAATTTTGCACTAAATAAATCTTACCAATTTTTTTTACATATGCACAACATTTACAAACCTCACAATCAAAGAAATTTTAGAACCTATAATTTAATCCAAACATTTGCATGAATGCGTGCAGGCATTACATCACATGCTTATCAAGCAGTGGGCCCCACCGCCTTCGGTTAGCTTCCCCTCGCCGGACCCCGGCGGCCCTTCCGTCTCCACCCGGAGCCCGTCGCACGCCACCGTTAAGCTATGTTGTCTGTACTCTACCCCTCTTCCCGACGTGACGTTTACCGTCATCGCTAGCCTCAACTCGAACACCGCTCCCCCAGCCTCCCACTCCCGGGCGAGCTCCGGCACCATAACGTTGTCCACGTCCACCATCCCTCCCCCTCCCCCGCCCGCCTCCACTCGGACCCTCAACTCACCCCTTGCCCCACCTTCCACCCCGAACGCGCGCTCAGACGAGAACCCGAGGATGTATCCTTGGTAGAGGACCACGGAACGCACGTGCCGGAACCCGAATGACACGTCCCGGTTATCGTTGGCGACGAGGAGGGACGCGTCCCAGAAGGCCGTCAGGCCGACTGGGCCCGCAGTGAAGTTGGAGACTCGAAGGGAAGAGACCTCGAATTCGGGGGCGTTCACGCCGTAGAGGAACCAAACGGCGAGGCTCGTCATGCACATGCACACGAGGAGGAGTGCCATGAGGATGAGCATGAAGCGGCCGAACGTGCCCGGGCGGGGCGTGGGGCCCACCAGGGGAGGCGGCGGTTGGTGGTGGTGGTGGTTGTAGTAGTAGTTGTAGTAGTCGGGCGGGTAGAGTTGCGGAGGCCCGACGGGCGGGTATGATCCGGGGGCCGAGTGGGAGTAGTTGTAGTAGGGTTCGTGGTGGAACGGAAAGTGGTTTTCGGGTTTTTCTTTCGGGTCCGTCGATTGGGAAGGTGATAGGGTTCCCATTGTTATAGTTTCGTGTGTGTGTGTGTGTGTTTCTTGATTTCTTTTGGTTTCTTGATTTCTTTTGGTTAATTACAAATTTCCTTCTCCCTGTGAGAATAGTTTGTATTTTATCTCAATCAGGGAGAAGAGTTTTTTCTTTTCTTTTTTTTTTTTTTTCCTTTTTTTTACTCCTTTTTGGTGTGTTGAAAAGTGTTGTAAAAATGAGGTGTTGAGTGGTTAAACTTGAGGAATAATAGGTAATGTTGAGGATTGTCAGGGTTTGTTTTATGATTATTGAAGGTATCCATTGATTTTGAAATGGATTGAGGTTTGTTGGTGTTTTGTGGTGTGGAGGTCCTAAAGGAGAGTGAAAAATGGGGTAAATGAAGCAAGACGTGGTGAAGTAAAAGTTTTAACCGGTGGGTAGATTCGATTCTACATATATGTGTGCAGCGCATACATAGGGTTTTTCACCGTTTGATCACAAACACATACATATATAATAATACAAGGTGTGTGTTTCGGGAAATGTTACCATCCCGTTACCGGATGGTTCCGAGTACTTTGTAGCCGTAAATATACATGTTATCTAGTAATGTGTAGATAATCTGCTGTTAAAAAATACAACAAAACCATCACGTAACGGAATGATAGCATTCTCCGTGTATTTATATATAAGTTGTTTTGCCAAATTAGAATTTGTTTTGCTAAATTATGTAGCAACGTACAATTGGTGCGTAGAGATTGAGAGGGTTCCTTATGCTACTACTTTATTTTTATAAATTTTACGGGATAAAATTAATCGTAGTTACTCTGTTAGGTTGTCTAATAAACACTACTAGTACAACACCCGTGTATTACACGGGTGCTTGCTAATTTTTTTCTTAAAATCTAAAATTAATAAGAAAAAAGTAGTTTGAAAATTTAAATACTTTTATAAGAATATATATATTATTATATATTTATTATGACATTTTTTTTGTGCGACTTACTTGTGTTATATTATACTAATTTTTTTTTTTAACTTACAATATATAACTACATTACATATAAATATATCAATTGAGAAATAATTTTATTTTTCTAATGAATTTTAATAAATATTATTATTTTTTTATTATAAAGATAAATATAATTTATTTATTTCACATATACAATATGGATGTCAAATCGAAGATTATCAAAAGATGATTAATTTGATATATTATATATGTAAAACCGATAAGAAATACAAAAGTTATCAACTTTTAAAATATATTTATAATTCAATAGCTTATTGAAGGAAACAAATCAAAATTCAGGGATATATTAGTCACTTAGTGCCTCACTATGTAAAATTACCAAAAATTAAAGGGTTATATTAATAAAAGTGATATTAAAATACCTAAGTTAGCTACATAATATTTATGGAATACCCGAACCTAGATTATTAAATAATAATATATCAATATTATTCATCCAAACCTAATTACGAAGCATGATTCTTCACCAAATAGGATTCCGAAGCACCAGAAGCAGCCACGTAGGCTCAACGCATTCTGGAATTATATATAGGGAGGATATTATGCTACAGTCCGTTATGGAACCATTCCATCGAGATTTGTAACCGTGAGATCATCATGTAACCGTCGTGGATAGTTGATCGAACGGTTACAAACTCCGACGGAATGGTTCCGTAACGGAACCGTAGAATCTCCCACTAACTATATACTTAAAATATCATGTTTTAATTCAATATTGATAGGGTGAACTAGCACCTCTTAGTAGGTTGTTTGGACGGAGAACATATCGGATGCCACTAACTCAGACCGGAGGCAGCTCAAAAGAAAACTATCTCGGCCCGAACTGGGACTAGGCCCGTAGTTAATGTCAGGTCGATTCCATTTCATAATAAATAACGAAGCTGAACTGCCGGTTCCGAACTGAATCCAGCCTGACCTGTTGAGTGGCCATGTTTAGCAGTGCCTAATTGTTCGAGCGCCTAGAAAAGTTGTCTAGACAAAAATCAGCACACCCAGGTACTGCCTAGCGCCTAGGCAACGCCTAGCTTGATTTTTAGTACAATTCTTGACAGACTTTTTAGGAGAGTTTCTAACCTGAGCATAAGAAATTCTACGGCGGTCGAATCAGGTATTGCATATCAGTTGTCTGTCTAACATCAACAAACTAAACTTCAAATATATATTGATAGTACTTCAAAAACAGAAAAGGAGAGAAAGAAACAATGCCCAATTTATTAGTTTAGTTTGAAGTTCAGAAGTGTAGTTCAGATTTTTAGAATTTTATTGCTCCATTCATGAATGTTCTTCTTCCTTCTATCTTTTATAGGTTTCGAATGAACAATCAAGTCGAAGAGCCTCTCGAGCTTACAAATTATGTTCAAATTTTGGCTCGTTTAATAAATCAAGTCGAGTCAAGCCGATTTGTTTATTAAACGAGCACGAGCTCGAAAACGATTTGCTCAGACTCTTAACACCCTTGTTTATCTTTAACAATATTAAACCATCAGATTAACACATTATTTTCAACCGTAAAAATGTGACCTATATCTGATGTACATCAGACATTGACATTCAAATTTTCTTGATATTAAAAGAAAAGAAATAAAAATCTATCTACAGTACATGGATTATTTATCTAAAATCTATCATAAGCGTCTTGGTTCGTTCAAGGTCTTGCCTTCGAATAAATCGGCCAGCATACTTTCCAGATCTTCTGGGCTATATCTGATGTACTTTTGTGGGTTTTGCCCACCCTCAATCATAGGCCTAACCCAAATAAGTTCAAATCAGCAACTTTAGTAGCTTGTAAGAAATTGTCAATAAAAATTGTCCTCAGATTGGTCAATGTTTTAAAAATTACTATAATCGATTAATTTGATCCCAATATAACTACTCACACCCATAGTTATGAGAAGATTTTTTGAAATTATTTCTCTCTTTTTTTTTCCCATTTATCCCAAGTTTTATAAAGAAAATATAACAACAATAATACCCTTAGATCTTGCTTGTTACAAATATATGGTATTTAATTGCTTTTTTTTATTATTATTATTATCAGGATTAATTTTGAAAAAGTTGGTATAGTTAGTTGATAGTGGAATTATAAGTTTGTATTAAAATAATATTTAAAACAAAATAATTAAAACTGATTTGATGAAAACGTAGGAGATAGATGATTGGAAGTGATAAGTAATTTGACAAATCATGAATTAAAGTTGATGTGATGTGTAAGGATGATTAATTGATATTGTATAATTTTATTGACAATGTAGAGAATAATGGAGTTGTGTTAAAATTGAGTAAGAAGTTGGATATGAATTGAGAAAATTTATAAACAAACACACTCTAAGGGCATGCTTGGATACAAACATATAGGCTCAAAATGGATTTTTTTGGTTAATCAGGTTTAATTTTGAAACAAGTGACATGGTTAGTGAATCAGGTTTAATTTTGAAACAAGTGACCTGGTTGTGAATAGTGGAGTTGAGTTAAAGTCAGTTTGATTTTGAGTTGAAATTGGATTTTTTCAGTATATTTGTAAACAAGCAAGTTCTTAGTTTTTCCATTTGTAAACTGCACAAGATATATAGAGTGTGCTGTGTGCGTACCCGAATCGTCTAATGAAAGACCTGTACGCGGGCAGTAGAACCTCAGCAACCGCTAGCCTCAGAGATTCTCGTAATTCGCTGTCGGGGACTGTCCATTGGGACTGCCTCTGGTGAATCTCCTCAAACAGCACGTTGAAGTTTCTGAACTTGTCTTTCACCATTGCTCTCGAAACACTCGATGTGCTGCCAATTTCCGAGAATGAGCTGCTGCCGCCTGACTGCGCCCCCTGAATAGTTAGGCACTGAAGAATCTGTTTGTGGACAAATTTGCCCGCATGAGTTTCTATGAAAAAAATTGGGGTTCGATGAACCAATTACAATTTTTTCAGGTATTTTTTCATGCACATTCATCAACTTCACCCAATCATACCTTAGACCAAGCAATCCTTTTATACTGATTAGCATGTTGCTGGACTACTCGTCTATGTATCTGAACCCAATCATCGCCCAACAGATCCTTTGCTTCAGACCTTTGACAACAAAAATGTGACAGTAAATTGGAATGTCCATCAAAATTCTTAGGAGGGGAGTTTTAAACATAACATTTAAGCAAATCTCATCTACCTGCGAACGGATCTTACAATGAAGTGCATATTGTTCATCAGAAACAGCTGGGTCAAAGCGGGATCTTTATACAGCTTAGATTTCCCATCCAGATTCGTCTGAAGAGCATGCATTATCCGGGTGGTTATACTCGCCAGCTGCTCCTCTGCATTAGCTTCATGAAACTCTCTAAAGAGTTGTAGCATAGATGAGTGATAGCTGAAAGTATCAAGGAGAAGGGAAGAAAAAATATTTACTGTAAGCCATCAGATAAAGTGCGTGAGGAAAAGAAAATGTTATGGCTGTCAGGATAAACTTACTCAAATAGAAATTTGACGTAGTTAATCACATAGCCCGTCAGGGGGTGGACTGTTCCGTCAAGAACGGTAGTTTTTGTGGCGTCTTTTTCAACTGCTTCTTCAAAATCACCAAATGTTTCTTGTGCTGTCTGGACCAGTCGTTTTGTAAGGACCACGAAGGCTTCCCGCATTTCGCCACAGAATTTGCTTCTAAATATGGCATCCATCTGTTGAAGTTAACGATAAGTTCAATGCAAGCAAGAAAAATTGTGAAGAAGCTAAAATTTTTCACTACCGGATCAAAACTTTAGTTAAAGAGGTCCATTTCTCCATATAAAACTTCTGAACATAAGATATCTACGCTTGTTGGAGATAGTTTAACCATCTATAAATCTAAGACAACAATAAAAACACAGGGAGTTTGAAGATTAAGGAACACCAAATTTTCATTGACCACTGTATGGTTCTTACTCAAAACTGTAACAGAATATGTCAGATTACAAAATTATGATTGTCAACATATAAGAGCTGATTATAATTTTATTACGAAAACTCAGACCACATTATGTACTTCAAATCAAAATGCTAGAACATCCAAGACATTGCGTCAAGTTTGAAACTATTGTAAGATCTTATTTACAGAACAGTGATGGATATATCTGGTGATTAAGAACATCTCCATATGAGCTAAAAGTCAACCATCTATAAGAGAAACATTACACGTCTCAACTAACAGCACAAGGCTAGATGACATCCACAAATTTCTATGTTCCACATACCTCCGGCTGAAGTTCTCGCATAATCTCGTACATGTCAAGGAGGACAAACAGCTTTTCGGGTGATCTTTTGATCTTCGTAATTGCTTCACCAAAACTGAGGAGAACCGCCATGCTATTTGCTGTGACCTTGGCAAAACACTGGTCCCTAAGATTATCATGACCTTCGAAAATCTCGTCACACAATTTCTTCTCCCCGGCAAACAAAAGCTTGACCTGTTCGGGTCACAAATAGAAGTTTGTTGAAAAAAGGAACAAGAAAAGAAATGAGACAAAAGTAAATCAATGACTGGAAATGTAAGTAAATCCTCACAGAAACCCGCACGAAATGAATCCAGTTTCCTATCTTTGCCTCTAGAACTTCCCACTGCATCTTTTGCACGTCCTCTTTACTAAGTCTTTCAACACCAAGTTTCTTTAAAGTTTGCTCAAGGGCTGCAGACCGTGCTTCCCTAAGTGGAAACAATGAGCCAACAATAACACCACGATAATTACAAATAAAACAATAGAATCTATATTATCTACTGGATGTTCGCCTTCAGATACATCGCCAGTCATATACGCAACATTTCAGCTGATAAATTATCATTAAAAAGGTAACCCTCAAAGTCCTTCAGAAAGTTGACCTATTAAACTTAGCTGTTCCATTATTTTCAGCTAATGATTAACAGCATATTCCCTCGTATGCATTTCAACTAAACTAATGATGTAAAGATAATCAGCCAAAACTTCACAACCTTACAAAAGAATACAAGAATTGGAATGAGTATGAATTAAAATTTATTAAATGACTCCGATGTGCTTACATGAAAAGCATATCAAAGATTGAAATGAAAACAAGGCCTTTACCTTCCATGAAACCATTAGCTGGTATGAATAGCTCTTCCGTATAATAATAGCCATGAAACATTGCAAATTACCTATATATAAATTTGCAAGTTACCTATATATAATGAAGACCTGCTTTTTGTGGCCAGCTGGTATCATTTGCTGAATCATAGAGTGAAGTAAGGGCAAAAGTCGTGGTGGAATTAGAGATGGGGGTTGATAGACAGTATTTTCTGTATTTTTTTCTTGGTCAGAAGTCTTTTTTCCACTCAATTCTCTTTCACGTGGTGACCCTGTTGATGGTCTCATGGAGTTTGGCAGGCAGTCAAAAAGTCGATCAGGTTCTACAGGCTTGCTGAAATCCAACTCACCAAAAAAGTTCGTCAAACATTTACAAAGTGAAATTTCAAAATAATGGGATGAAAATAATAGTTTGCTCGGATGCTAAAACAAGCTCCGAATAAATTCAACGATTAATGGAGTAAATGATAATGCTGAATCTCTTTCAGATTTGCTAGGCACAAAATTATTCGTTGCATAGCCCAGTAGTATAGTCACAAACACACAGAAGTAAAAACTGAGTAGATTTCTAACATAAATATTAATAGTTATAAAAAGTACAAACAAATGAATTCTAACCTAAAAAGTTTCGAGGTATGATTGTATTTTCAAACAGAAAACCAAACCATTTCCAGTAAAAAAAAAAAAGAAAGAAACAAAGAGTGAGCTAAATCTGAAGGTTTCATACATATAATAAATTTATTGAATGCTAGAGACAAATAAATGCATACATGGCCGACCATTTGACTTTAAAATTCCATAACTTACACCAAACAGAATAGTGTCTATGACCATATGTGGATGAAAAGACCTGTATGAGGTGAGAAGCTGTCTGAATTCTTCCTCTAGTTTGGCAATTGCTTTGGTTAGTAAAGCATTGGCTTGATTAACCAGCTCAATACTACCCTGGAAGCCTTTGTTTCCAGTAAAAAAGCGAACAATGCTCCTAAGTTGATCCACTGCTTCTAGAAAGCTCTCCAAATCCTCATGAGGTCCCCTCAATATCTTAGCTTCGGCCTGCAGAAGGTCAATATTGTATCAGGATAGAAGGGGACTTCGCATAATTTATGATCCAATCATTTCAAGATTGATTATGACCTAGATGTTAATAAAATCTCGTGCAACAAACACCAAGGGTCGAGGAGCGCGCTCGAAGCAATTGGGGACCAAACACAAGCACACATTTTACAATCATGGAAGAATACAGTAGCCATCAAATTAAACCTCGAACTCCGCACATCAAATTCTAGCTCAAGTTTTGAGTTATTTGTATTAAGCTTGTCAGCGAACCCATACAAAAGACTAAAGTAATACAAACTTCTAAACACATAATCTAAATTGCCTTCCGATAAAGTTCCAAAGATATAAAAATCATGTTTCGTCCAGTAATTTTATTCGTTAGCCCAGAGAAATATCCCAGAATCTTACTTGGCTGCACGCATTTCCCATGTCAATAGTCATATATGCTTCAATCCAAAAGTCGTGTCAATTGAAAATTATAGTCATTTGAGATCGTAAACAGACAAAATATCCACACATTTGCAACCTAACTATCAAATAGCAAATCATAACTGCAAACAACACCAACAGCAAAGCTAAAGAGACCCAAGGCAACAGTTCAAATGCAAGAAACAATGTAGTTCTCCGACCAACCCCTTCGCCTACGGAAGTTCCTTCCCAGTAGCATACGCAAAAACCAGAGTACAGCAAAGAAACTAAGCACAATAAAGCAACAAGCTAAAAGTAAACAACTCGTAAACCGAAAACTAAACGAGAAAATTGAAGTCTGAAGCAAAGACCAAGACCTTGCGCGAGCGATCAAATTGTTCCAGAATGAGCTCAGCAGCCTTGTGCGTCTTGTCGATATTCTCGTGCGCTCTCCTGATCGAATGCGTTTTCAGCTAAAACGCCAACGTAATCAAACCAATTAAAACTGAAACGATAATCTACAGCAAAAATCGACCCAGTGTTTTCATGCATTTTTATCCAGATTAAAATAAACGCACAGAAAAGCTGTAGATTAAGGAAAGAGAGAGAGAGAGAGAGAGAGAGAGCGAGAACAACAACCTGTGTGGGGCGCATGGCGGTCTCGAGGGCGGAGAGGCGGCGGTCGAAGGAGCCGAGGATTGCGACCATGTTATCTGCGATGGTCTGAGTTTTCAGCATCGATTCCCTCATCACGGCGGCGCGCTCGCTCAGAGCATCTACGGCCGCGGCGTACGCCACCATTTTCTGGCAAATTTTTTTCCGGTCGTGATTCGGATTTCAGAGCTTGTGTATAGATAAAGCAGCGAATGTGCGCGTGAAAATTACAGCTTAGCGTCTGTGTGTGCGCTTTTTCGTTCATATACTTTGCTATTTGGTGGTCGTTGGATAAAGTGACGTCGTTTCTGGTCCCACGCTTGATGCGTGATCTCCAAGGGAGAAATGGAAGATATTACGATATCGACGACAATTATTTTTGTTTTCTCCACTCGTTTTGTAACATTTTGCGTGTAATTATATTTTTTTATTTAATTTAATATATACTAGCTACTCGTAAGTTCGTAACTGAAATTTTGGGTAGTGTAAAATTGGCGCTTATACGAAAATCAATATATATATATATGTTCATTTAAATTTGCGGAAGTCAATAATTAAAAACAAATTTTGAAAAAAGCGTCTCACTCTCTTTTAAAACTTTTTTATTTTTTATTTTTTTTTGGTACAGTGACCTTACGGTTTCCGGATTCACAGGGGAACTGACTAATCCAGAATCGAGCCGGGTAGGACTACAAGGGCGACAAAGCTCTCCTTCAAGAGTTTTAACACTGCTGCATTCCCAGGGCTCGAACACGAGAATATCTACAAATAATATCTACAAAGAGTTTTAAAACTCTTTCATTAATCAAGTGTTTAAACAATATCTACAAATAAGAATTACTCGCCTTAAAAATGAATTTTGAGGAAAGCGTCTCTCTCTCAAAACTCTTTCATTAATCAAGTGTTTAAACAATATCTACAAATAAGAATTACTCGCCTAGACTTTCTATAGTTAACCTACTTTGTACACCACTTATCTACCTACTTTACTTGCGAGGTGTGAACTTAAGTTGCACGCCCCCCAGGTAGTATGAAGATTTTGGCTAAGCACTAAGTAAGAAAACAAACAAACAACTTTAATTTTCTGCAGGGGCGGACGCAGACTCATAAAGTTAAAAGGACACAAACATAATTTGTACACAATAAAAATATAAAAACAAAAACGATAATCGTTCTTCGGATCTTCTTATATATTGTATTCTCCATAATCAAATTATTTCATATATTTTTAAATAAATCTTTCTCAAATATCTACTTTTTTTTCTTGCATTGAATATTTCATTCCATTTGAGCATTAGTGGACTTCTATTTATGATATATTTCTTCATAAAAATTTAAAATCATATTAGTAGAAAAAATAAATGACAAATATGTGTCAAAACCAATAACAAGAGTTTAGAAATCTTAATGAAGTTGACTTTACATCAAAGTTTTTAAAGCACTAAAGATGACATTTTTTTTTTAATTCTTAGGTATAAATAGAGGGTAACATAAAAATTTAAATATAATTTTTAATAGATACAACATGTAAGTAGAAATAAAAAAATCTGCTCAAAGATGAAATTGTAAAAGAATTAATGTGATATTTCCATTCTTAGAACATTTGCTACCTTTTTATTTAACTAAAAATTAATTATATACATTGGAGAAAATAAACCATTTACTAAATAATTTTGTTAATAAATAACATAAAGTATTCTTTTTGTAATATATATATATATATATATATATATATATGCACTATTTTTTTTTCAACATGGGCATGGGCCCCTAGAGGCCCCTCCCTAGGTCCGCCCCTGATTACCAGCGATGTACCAACATGTTGGAATTCGATTACTCTATAAAATCTTAAAAAAAAACTCGTGAGCTCGTAATAATTAAAACTCCTAACTATTTGAAATAATCCTCCCTATATATAATTCCAGAATGCGCTGAGCCTACGTGGCTGCTTCTGGTGCTTCGGAATCCTATTTGGCAAAGAATCATGCTTCGTAATTAGGTTTGGACAAATAATATTAATATATTAATAATTAATAATCTAGGTTCGGATATTCCATAAATATTATTTAGCTAACTTAGGTATTTTAATATCACTTTTACTAATATAACCCTTTAATTATTTGTAATTTTACATAGTGAGACACTAAGTGACTAATATATCCCTAAATTTTGATTTGCTTCCTTCAATAAGCTATTGAATTATAAATGTATTTTAAAAGTCGATAACTTTTGTATTTCTTATCGGTTTTACATATATAATATATCAAATTAATCATCTTTTGATAATCTTCGATTTGACATCTATATTGTATATATAAAATAAATAAATTATATTTATTTTTATAATAATAAAAAATAATAATATCAATTATCCTTCGGGCTCCGGATTGTTTTCGACATCTCCCTTCGGCAATAGCTTCGGTTAAGTCAAGACTGACTCCTATTCATGATTGTAAGATAGCTCGCAAGCCCACGCCCACTGGTTGACACGTAAAATGGGAATCTGTTACACATTTTAGCTCTGCTATTCTGCCAAAAAACCTGGCTCCAAACATTTCCTGCTATTTATTAAAATTCATTAGAAAAATAAAATTATTTCTCAATTGATATATTTATATTTAATGTAGTTATATGGTGTAAGTTAAAAAATTAGTATAATATAACACAAGTAAGTCGCACAAATAAAAAGTATCATAATATATATATATATATATATTCTTATAAAAGGTATTTAAATTTTCAAACTAATTTTCTCATTAATTTTAAATTTTAAGAAAAAAATTAGCAAGCACCCGTGTAATACACGGGTGTTGTACTAGTAATTGAATATTTCACTCCTTTCCATGATTCGTGAAAATAAACTATATACAAAACTATAAATGACATGCATATTTACCACCAATCGAGAGTTTTCAAATATTCTTGACCTTCTCGTTCAGCTTAGAAACTGAATCTCCATATTTTAAAAGTCACCATTTACGAATATTTTGTCCAAATCCAATAGAATTAATCCTCTCTCTCTCTCTCTCTCT